TGAATTTACAGTTTAAATTTATCGATTAAATTAAACGTTTCAATCCTGAACATATGTGAATAATGTTTATTAAACGTTTCGGTCCGAAAATTGAACCAACTTCAGTAACTGTATAACAAAATAATAAATAATAAGATTAGGGATGTGCGATCTCGATTTGATTCTGCCAAGATCGATCCAAAAGGTCCAAAAAATCGATCTTTTGAATCGATTCTTTACTATTTCGATCTTGTATGAATCGATCCTTCACGCTCAGAATCGATGAGACGATTCTTCTTTCAAAGCTACTTGACTTCTACCTGCGGTTCTGCGTTCGCCCTGCCGAGCCTAAGGTTATGTATAAGAAGGTTAAGTCATGAGCCCCGATTACCCATAATGCAATACAAAGAATCGATGTGTGAGCCAATAACAGTCTACCTTATTTAGCATCTCTTTTCAATAGCGACTGCTCACACATCGATTATTTGCATTGCATTATGGGTAATCGGGGTTCTTGACTTAATCTTCTTATATACAGGGTATCCCGCAACGTGATGTCCACACTGAAACTGTGTATTCTTTTTGTCATTCTCAGTCAAAAGTCTTAATACACATATGCCGTAAAAATGATTGTTTCAAAGTTATAGCGAAAAAACAAAATTGCATAAAATAAGAACAATATTATTTATTAAAGATAACATTATTTATTGATAATTAAACAATAATTAAACGATAATAAAACAATAATTTACTTTATAAACTACTTTATTAATTGTTCAAAGTGACCACCATTTCGGTGTACACACACTTCTGCTCTTTGAATTATTGATCTTGTAGAACGCAAAAGAAGTTCCGCATCGTTACGTATATTATTACAAGCGTCTGTTATTTTATTTAATAACTGCTGCCGACTGACTGGCTTATCCGCATAGATTAGATATTAAAAAAGAAAAAAAAGGATATCGGCATATTCTTCATTGCAAAATGTACTCATGATTGGTAGGTAAGAGAAATTTCTAAGCTATGTTTATGCGATGTTTTCACTTAAAACGACGTTGCTAGTATCGCATCCTCGACTTGACGATGTCGCCTTAATGGTCTCTCAAGATTTTTATTTGGGACCTTACCAGTAAGTTTAATGTTTCGGTGGACATTGCTAAAAACTCTTTGATCTGGTACTCTGCGATTAGGAAACCGTCGGTGATATTCTGTTACTGCTGCACGTGCGTTACCATTACAGAAACCATAAATAAAATGAATATCGGCATATTCTTCATTGGAAAATGTACTCATGATTGGTAGGTAAGAGAAATTTCTAAGCTATGTTTATGCGATGTTTTCACTTAAAACGACAGTCAATTTATTAATATTATCTTGTGTGGCAAGTGTGGAAAACAATGAATTATGTCGAGTATGCATCGCTTCAGCTCATGCGGCAATTTCATACGCGACGTAGTTCGTTGTCTTCCGCACATGCCATACATACAATATTTTTTGTAATGCCTGTTATTTCCGCACTATTAGTGCGGTAAGGTAAGTCATAAAGATGCTTTTCTCGCATTAGTGTGAGAAATAACTACTTTTACATTTTTCGCTATAACCTCGAAACAAGCGACTTTAGGGCATATGTGTATTAAGACTTTTTGACTTAGAATGACACAAAGAATACACAGTTTCAGTGTGGACATCACGTTGCGGGACACCCTGTATAACCTCAGCCGAGCCGAGTCTGCGCGAAACGCGATCTTGAGTGGTACATACCATGCCATGAAAAAGAGAAATATCGAACTTCTTTTTCTAACTACACGGGATCGAAAGGAGAGATTTGATCGACTTTGAAATTTTTCACGGTAAATTTTGGTCACAAAATTACCAATTAGACGTCCTAAGTTAGGTCTCATGAGACCCGAAAATGACGTCGATATGTCACATCCACGGGACGTCATTTTCTGACGTTTGTTTAACAACAAAACTAAGACCAATTACAGTAATAATATATAATAAGATATATTAATGTGTTATATATATTATAGGTAAATTTAAATAATTTAATGTATAAAATTAAAGATTTTATTTATATATGGAAGTTAATTTCTGTTTTATATTTTAAGCAGATAATAACGAATGATTTTTACTTATTCGGACAGAAATTGTCCGAATAAATTAAAATCGCACATTATCTATTTGATTTATTTCTAAAAATCAGTTCAATATCTGAATTTCCCGGTACGGGAATCGTATCAGAAATTAAACTGATAAAAATAATTACAATATTGTTAGCCGCATTTTGCAGGCTTTATATACGCTCATGACAAAAATTTGAATACGGATATAGATAGTGAATAGCGCGCCGTATAGCGGTAAGCGAATGAACTATAATCCCAATACTAGTTACAAAAGGACTTTATTTGGACGACTATAGGACGTCTTCAAAATGACGTCTTTGGCTAGCCTAAGAAATGACGTCCTTTAAACGTCAATTATTAGTCGCCGACGTTATAGACCAAAAATAGACGTCATTATGTCGTCTTTTGACGTCACTCTGCTACTTGGGACACGGGTCTCTGCAAATCGGATCCTGCAGATTGGGTCGTATGTAGCAGGCTATAGAGTCCCGCGCTTTTGCTGGGTGCTTTCCAGCTACGAAACACAGTGATACACTGTGTGACACGGTGTTATACAGTGTCGACTTGTAGCTGGAACGCTGTTTGCGATCCATATGTTCAATATGTGCATATATCAATGATTTGAGCAGGCATAAAGAAGATCAACGATTTGTAATAATAATTTAAACTCGCAGAAGATATTTTCGCTGTAAAAGTTAATATTTTTCAACAAAAATTTTTTATAAATTATTAACTTATTTATCAAATATGTAGAGAAGAGATTAAAAACTGATCAAATTATGTAAATTAAGCATAATATAGTTACAATTTTATCTTATTAACAGAATTTATAAGTTTTATTAATCAATTGAGTAACGACATAGTCGAACACATCATTTTAGCTGTGTACGATTGTGTTGACTTGTGTCGTAGTTGGAAACTACTTGTGTCGTAGTTGGAAACACTGAGTCGTATACTGTGTTACACAGTGTCGCCAGTGTACGTTGCTGGAAAGCACCCGCTCTTGCCCGCTTTGCTGGACATCGAAATGCCAGCTTCTGGCTTGTCCGGGCTTGTGTACGCAAATCGCAAATTTTCAACGAGATTTGACGCTGAAACCGAAATTTTGGCAACTGATGCATATTGCAATTATTAGGTACGTATAGAATTATAAGTCGGTACTGTAGAAATATTGTGTTTGATATGCATTGGTTGTGGTACTTTAATATTTCATGCACTTTCACTCATTTCCTCCCCCAGCATTTTTTATGTTACCTGCTTGTCAATAATTATAAAAACCTCGAATGTCAATTGGTATTAATGAATGGAACTAAGGTATTGGCTTTTCATAGACGAGTGAGAAAATATAGAAAAAAGTAAGTATATTTTTCAATCACTGCACTAATTTCATAAACGTCAATCATAACCTCATCTAACCTAAATTTTTTTCCAATTTCTGATTTCTCTATTTACAGAAATTTTATAGAAAGACAAAAATATGTTTTATTATTTTTTTTCTAGTGACACCTACATTAAAAAAGGTAAGTCCTGTATAGCAATTTTTTATAAAAAATCCAACTGGTGGTATTTGCAAAATTTCTCTACCGACATAAAATCTGATGGATCCGGTGGAAACCATTTGATTCGGAAGCATCTAAATAATCCTGACATCAAAAAAAATTTTATAAAAAGTGCGGCTACTGAAACTGACAAAGCGCAACAGACAAATAATTTAAATCGTACAGCTGATAATAATCAAACTGAGTGCTCAACCTCAAGACCGTCGACGTCATCAACGCTATCATCGGCATCTACATCATTAATACCATCATTGGCATTGACAGCCTATAAGAATTGCGCTTTTCACCAGAATTGTCCTTGCCATTGGCTGTCGCTAGTTATCGATTCCGAAAACTGTCGATAACAAGTTACTGAATCCCGCTACAGAACTGTCTGAAAGATTTTTTCTTCGAGTGAAACATCTTGCTTTCAGCCAAGGATTGACTGCACTTTCAAACAAATCAAATCGTTTGAAGAAGGAGGATCAAAGGCTGGAGGAATAACTAATGCGATACTGTTCATGATCGCCTCAGATAATATGTCCTTTAATATTGTGGAAAGAGAAGGTTTCAAGTACCTTATGAAAACTATTGTCCCTTTGTACAATATTCCTGGAAGAAAATTAATCACTAAATACATAGAAGAGAAATACAACTACCTATCATTAGTTGCGAAAGATAGGCTAAATACCGTCCAGCATATTTCGCTCACATCTGATCTCTGGACCGACGTACTCAACACTGTGAATTACTTAGGAATGACAGCACATTATGATTTTTAAGACGAACTGCAATCCACGACGATAGGTGTAACTGAAGTAGCGGAACGACACACAGCTGAGGTTTTAGGTAGGTGGATAGAAAATGTAATGAATGATTGGAATATTGATAAAGACAAGGTTATTGTGATGGTAACAGACAATGGACCAAACATTGTTAAGGCAGTTCATGATACATTGGGATTTAATAAACATCTTCCGTGCTTTGCTCACACGTTAAATTTGGTCGCTACACACACTATGAATTTTGATGATGCAACAGTTTTGGTGACAAAGATTAAAACGATTGTAGTTTTCTTTAAACAATCCTCAATTGCTGCCGGTGAGTTACGAAAGGTCAGCGCCCTCAAGTTAATTCGGTGTATTGATACGCATTGGAATTCCACATATTATATGTTAGAACGCTTCATTCTGTTGGCGGATACAGTTGGATCAATTTTATTGAAAATCCCAAGCTCACCTCCAATGTTGACGGCAACTGAACTGCTACTAGCGAAAGAAATTCTTGAAGTTTTGCGACCGATTGAAAAAGTGACGAAAGAACTGTTTGGAGAAAAGTATGTCATGATCAGCAAAATGATTCCAATGATCTACTGCGTGAAAAAAAAAATTGAATCGCTTTGCACGCACCTGTAGACGCCAACCGCACAAACTTTAATAGATCGCCTCCAGTTTTAAATCAGAAAAAGATTTGGAAACATAACAGCCAATCGAATTATTGCGATTTCGACAATATTAGATCCTCGATTTAAGCGACTGCATTTCCAGCAGAACGAGCTTGTAGCATGTGCGCAATCAGTGAATTACATTGCTAAATATATGAAAAAAATTGACCAAGCAAATATTTCTGACGGTGACGCGACGATTACTGAAGCAAACGTCGAGAATTCTGAGACGTCTGATGATCTCTGGACATATCACGAGGACCTTGTTAAAGGACAAGTTACGAATAAAGATGAAAGAAATCAAAATGAAATGCCAACCGATCTAAGGCATTACTTACATCAACCATTGGCAAAGTTGAAAAAAAATCCAATGTTCTATTGGTCTAAACAGTACAAAATGATTTACCCAACACTTAGCAAAATTGCAGAAATGTACTTGCCCGTAGTTGCAACATCGGTACTTTCTGAAAGGGTAAAACTGACGTTTAGGGGAGGCAGCCCCGATGACCTTGACCTTGACATATATTGTCAAGGTCACCCTCGTGAGTGACCTTCAAAAGGTTTTAGCCGTCGCTCGTTTTTTATTAAAAAGTTATTAACAAAAATATTTAAAAAATATAACAGTATGTGGAAATAGGGCAAGTATGACATTTTAGCTTTTACCTCAAAAAATTGCGGTAAATGTCTAGAAAAAGGGCAACTTCACGGATAACCTTGACCTTGACATATGTTGTCAAGGTCATCGTCCTGAGTAATCTTAACCTAGAAAAAAGTGGCGGTCACAATCCGTTCAAAAGTTATGAAGAATTAATATAAGCATAAGCAGAAGCATAAATTTTAGTTTTAAATCTGAAATAGGTTTGGGTTAGGTTATATTTTCCAGAAGTGGAGCCCCTCCGTAGGGAGGGCGGAACCCACTGCGTCCATGCATATACTTTACAACGCGAAGCGAGGTGCACCCCATAATTGTTGTGTGGATGGGAAAGTGTATGCGCGGACGCAGTGAGTCCCCCCTATAGGGGGGCCGCACTTCCGGAAGATATAACCTAACCCAAACCTTTTCCATCCACACAACAATTTTGGGGTGAACCTCATTTCGCGCTGTAAAGTATATGCATGGACGCAGTGGGTTCCCCCCCCCCCCTACGGGGGGGCTCCACTTCCGGAAGATATAACCTAACCCTAACGTATTTCTGATTTAAAACTAAAATTTGGTTTTGGTTAGGTTAGGTTAGCCGCTTCTCCCTCTCCAACGCATTCACTTTGCAATGACTATACAAACAACAATTTAATACTAATGATTATCACGGATATGTGTATGTTACTAGTTATAATTAAGTATGATATATATCAAATAAGCAATATAATTGTATGATTATAATTGTATGATTTTATATGAATTCCATACATTTGTCATTTGTATACTATAGTGTGATGAATGTTTTGAAAAATATCGTTTGCGATCTTTTAACAGCCTTTGTTTACGTTAATAACTTTTTAATAGGTAAATATAGCGAATAGGGGTCCCAGCCCCAATGACCTTGACCTTGACATATGTTAAGTCATATATTATGTCAAGGACATATATTAATTTAATTTTTATAAATCTAATATAAATTTTAAAAAATAGATACTTACATTATGCTCCTGGGGCCGCAAACTCTTCCTCCCAATCCTCCTCCCAATCCTCCTCTTCCTCTTCCTCTTCCCACGCCTTTTCAGGTTCCCAATTCTCCTCTTCTTCATAGGGCTCAAGCCCAAAAAGCGGCCGCAAATAGAAGATATCTTCATACTGGTCAGGGTGCACGCATGCCCACTCGCGGGCCCCTCGCGTATCGCCCCACAAATTGGCGTGCGCCCAACGCAAATTTCCTCTCATCCACCGCATGTATCGCCGGTGGATGACGTCTATTTGCACGAACTGAAATATAATATTATGTAATATACATCACACATAATCTTGCATACGAAAACATTGGACACTTCTTACCAAATGATTGCGAAACATTTTTTAAGCTTCACTGAGAACGACTATCGAACTGCTTTGAACGGCTATCGAACGGCTATGAACGGATTTTAAACGGTTTTGAACAGCTATCGAACGGCTATGAACGACTATTTAACGACTATTGAACGGCTATCGAACGGCTTTGAACGGCCATCGAACGGCTATGAACAATTATGAACGACTATTGAACGACTATTGAACGGCTATCGAACGGCTTTGAACGAGAAAACAATTATTTATACACCATTCAAATATTTAAAGTCTATGTGCATGTACTGAAATGTAACATCTGTAGTCTGATAAGGTGGCTGACGCCGCTATCTAACGTCACGTACTGAAATTTAATACTCATATACTGGGATAAGAAATAGGAAAAGGGAAGAATAAAAGAGAATAAAAATATATTTTAACAATAACTTATTCTAAAAGAGTCGGTACCGCGTGGGGACCCCGCGAGAGCGAGACAGAGCGTGCCGGTGAGCGAGATCGTGAATCGAGCGGGCGTGCGCATGCGTTGAGCAAGATGGCGGCGGGATAGGTTGCGCTGGGTGAATAATCAAGCCATGCGTGTCTATGTATCATATATATATGTATTTACATATGGCCGTAGTAACGGCCCTGCTGTTACACATATAATTTACAATAAATATACATATGGCTTCTACTATGAAAATTTGGTTTTGCGATCATCGCCTCTGCGCCATATCTTCCATCCCAATGTATCACGAGCTTAATATTAACATTAACAAATACCGCATTATTCATTAATTTATATAAATTTTTTTCAAAATCATTTTTCGCGAGTGTTCGGAATTGTATATTGAGTTCGATATAACTGCGAAGCCATGGAGATTGCGAAAACTGTAATATTCAATGTATTTTTGTAACGCGAAGTCCGTGTCGCGTGCATTGCAGGTTGCGGTAATGTATTACGTAACGTTTCTTATCATATAAGGTTGCGAGCAGCTATCCTGCCGCTTACTAGGTGGTTTGTCGCGTGTCGGGCAAAACGGTAGGTCAGTGTGCGCATCGTGAACACGTTGCGGATACTCGAGATCGACTTCAAGGATGTAGCCTATAGGCGAATCGAGCGCGATCGATGATGTATCAAAATCGGATACGTCGTCGACCCATCGAAAATCTGCATAGGGCAAAGGTTGACACATTGCCCAGCCGTATAAATTATTTAGATCAAAGTACGTGAGATATGATGAAGGTTTCGATGGATCGTACGATTCCATATACTTGTTATTAGCATGTGCGTATCTGTTGGAACATTGACTCAAACCACCGCGTATTCCGCGTTCGATAAA